GACAGCACCACACGGGGACAACCGGCGTCTCCGTCTTCGGGTTAAACCCGACATAATATTTGAACACCCTAGCTGGGCATCCACACAAATGAATCGAGGTCTTAAGCCAGACCTCGTTAGAGTCCTCGGGGAGGTGAAAAGACACTAGGAGGTGGTTGAAATTATACCACTTAGATGATACTCTACCCTTAAAACACAATTTCCCTAATCCAGCAGATATATCTCGAGGGGCAGGGATAACATAAGAAAACTTAAACACCAGGGTGTTAGCTAGCTTACCTGCAAGAGCAACAGATTCGGCTTCAGTGTATCGGGCCTTCACCTTGTTTCACTCCGAGCGGATAATGGTTCCGCAAGCATGTTCGTATTCCCCGTTAAAGGCAAAATCCTTGGCCGTCAGACGCGGGCCGGCCGTGTCAACATTTTTCTTCCCCGTAACAGCCTCTCGGAAAGAAAGTGGGCTAGTGGAGGTGCTCGGAAGAGGCCCGTCTGCGGCGGGGTTGACCGTTGATGTGTCCATCTGTGGTGTCTCTATCGAGGAGAGCCTGACGTTGACCCCGAACGGAGAAGGTAAATTTGGCCGAGGCCCGAGAATGCCGGTCGAGGCATCCGACTCCGACTCCGGGGCTGTTTCGGCGTGGGTGGTTGCCGGAAGGGATTTTCCGGCGGTCAAGGGGGCTCCGTCGCCGGCGCCGGCGTGAACAGTAGCTGAAGTAAAGGGTGTTCCAGCGAGTGTTGCGGTCGGTGAAGGTGACTTTGGCCTCGGTCCGAGAATTCCGGCTATACAGAGCGATTTCGGGGCATCTCCCGGTGTTTTGGTGGTCGACTGCGACTTTTTGGTGGCCATGGCGGCGACGGCGCCAATGATGGTTCGGTGAGGGCCGTCGGTCGGATGGGTATTGGCGGCCTGAAGAGGTTGGCCGTGCTGCTGACAAGAGGAGAGATGGGAAGCAGACTGGGGTGTGCCGGTGGAAGTGGGCTGAGGAGGTGGGCTGGGTTGAACAGGCTGGGTGGAAGGTGACTGGATGGGCTGAGGGAGTGGGTTAGGTTGAGCGGAGACTGGTTGGATATAGGCCTGAGTGGTGACGGGCTGGGAGATGGAGTTGGTGATGACGGGCTGAGATGTGGGTTGAATCATATTGGCGGGCCCGGTCTGGTTGGGTTGCTGGGGTTGGGAGGGTCCAAATACCGAAAGGCCCAAATATAGGCTAAGAATGGTGATTGGGTCGATTTGAGATGAGGAGGGATTATGGGCTGAGATGGGGTTTGGGTGGGCTAAAGGGAGAATATGCGAGGTGAGCATTGGTTGGGCCGAGAAGATGGGCTGTGAAGGGGAGGGTTGAGGATGAGAGTTTAGAGGGGCGGACTTGAGATAACTAGGATGGGCCGATTGAATTGGCCCCAAAATTAACTAGTTGGTCCGAAATATTACCTCTCAGCTCAGGATTGGGAACCCTACCACATGGCTGATACTTAAAGGCTGAGAGGATGGGAGATCCTGTTGACCAGTCAAAGGTGGAGGGGTGGCGGCGTCTTTTGTCTTCTCCGGCGAAGAGGATTTCAGCGGCAGAGCCGAAAACAAGCGGCGCTTCACTGTGTCCGATTTTAGAGCTTCGGTTTCTTAGAGTCGGGTCCGCCGGTTGCATCGCAGTGATTTTCTCCTCGGTTTTCTCGATGAGCTGAGACTTTCTTGTGTAGCCATTTTTGTCGATTTTTCCGGTATTTTCCTGACCTTGCCGCTGTTGGTCGAGGGTAAGGTGATGACCGGTACCCGTTTGTATCTGGATGTCAGGATCCGATTGCAAAATCGTGGTCTCCATCTTTGCCATGGACTCCGGCGCAGAGGCCTCAAAGCAATTCTTCTCGGCATCTACCCATATTTCACCTTCTTTTATTTGTTTTCCTTCTTTCAAATCTACCGCTTGACTTTTTGCGAGAATGGTTGAGATAAAATCTCGAACTTCCGGATTTGACAATATGCATTCCAAATCCGAAGGGGTCATGTTGGCTAAAAAAAGAGGAAAAAATTAAAGGACTGATAGAATTTTTTTGTGGCCCCGGGGCCGGGGCGGCCGCCGGCGGCGGCGGCCGATGGGTCGGCTAGGCTGGGCTGGTGGCTACGGGTGGAAGGAGGTGGTGGTTGAAGACGAAAATGGTTGAAAATTTTTCTACAGAGAAAATGGCTGCGGGTGCGGCCGATGGGTCTTTTGTTGCTAGGTTATTTATTTCTTGCTGCTAGGTTAGTTGTCTTTTGGGGCCCACAATATCAACGAGCAAGATACAAAAGTCTACAGAGTCTCACAAGTCAAAATCAAAAGCAAAAGAAGAAACAAAAAAGAAAAGTCGAAAAAACGGAAAAGAAACAGAAACTACAATACAAAGTCGATCTTCGGGCTAACCGATGCCCGAAATAAATGTCTAGACTAATGAAAGCAAAAATCCTAAACTACTGAAAGCGGAACGCTGGATATCCAAGCTGGTCCATCCGTACAAGAGTGCGAAGGCGGAGTGGAGCAGTGTCGGTCTGAAATGTATGTGTGTCTGGTATGGTGGCGCCAAGGCTGGCCAGGTAATCGGCAGGTCTGTTCCCCTCACGGAAAATGTGCGTGATCCTGTGATGGACAGACCGGAGTAGAACTTTAATACGCATCAGCGGGTGCTGAATCTGCCACGAGCCCTGGTGGCCCGAGGTCAAAAGGGTGGCTATAGCCGCAGTGTCTAGCTCGATCCAAATGTGGCTAGAGAGGTGGACAGCAATCTGAAGGCCGATCTGTAATGCCTGAATCTCTGCATCATAGCTCGAGGAGGCCTGAAGGGACGCGTGGAAGGCGGTGATGAGGGCGCCGTTATGGTCCCGTATCAAGCCTCCTCCTCCGGCAACTCCAGTGTGGCGATCAAAGGAGCCATCAGTGTTCAGCTTGACCCACGGAGAGTCTGGTCAAAGCCAAACAACAGCTCTGGGCCGAGGGTGTCTTTTGTTGCTAGGTTAGTTATCTTTAGCTGCTAGGTTAGTTGTGTTTTGTTGCTAGGTTAGTTGTCTGTTGTTTCTAGGTTAGTTAATTGTAGCTGCTAGGTTAGTTGAGTTTTGTTGCTAGGTTAGTTGTCTTAAGTTGCTAGGTTATTTCTTTCTTGCTGCTATGTTAGTTGTCTTTTGTTGCTAGGTTAGTTCTTTGTTGTTGCTAGGTTAGTTGTCTGATGCTGCTAGGTTAGTTGTCTTTTGTTGCTAGGTTATTTCTTTCTTACTGCCAGGTTAGTTCTCTTTAGTTGCTAGGTTAGTTCTCTGTAGTTGCTAGGTTAGTTCTCTGTAGTTGTTAAGTTAGTAGTTGCTAGGTTAGTAGTAGCTAGGTTAGTTGTCTGTAGTTGCTAGGTTAGTTGTCTGTAGTTGCTAAGAGCTGGTCCCATTGATCCGCCTCCTATATATATATATATATATATATATATATATATATATATATAAATCCCTATATATATATATATATATATATATATATATAATTGCTGACAAGCTTCAATAAAATTTATTCAGCCAGCAATTAATAATAATATGAGTTCAATTAATAAAAATAAGTGTTCATTTAATAAAAATATGTTCACCATTTAATAAGAATATGTAACTTTCAGTTACACAATTTATTTTGACAAGTCCCATTTTGAAATGTGCCCATTTCTACAATGTCTTTTTACGTCCTGAAATACAAAATATTTATATTTTTATTTTGATACTATATATTTTTTTATATTATATAAATACATATTTCACAATTAATGACTACAAATATCTCTATTTTCTATTGCAATCATACAATAATAAAAAAATATTTTTTCGAATATTACAAAGATACATCAAATATTTTGAAAAATCAAATCTTAGAGTCACGAGTCGAAGGGGTTTAACGATCATGATTTGTTGTTATGGGAATTCTGACGATAGAAAAAACCGCAAATATTGTATATAAAGAACTGTTTAATAATATTTAGATTCACTTTTTAAATTTTTTTTCTCATTTATTAAGTTATGATTTTTATTTAATTATATACTTTTAATTACTTTTTCTTCTATTATATCATTTTTCGTGTAAATGCACTGGATAAGATTAGTATTGAAAAGTCAGCTGTAATATTATATTTAAAATTTCTAATTTATGGAATTGACTCAAAATTTGGTAAAGTTGTTGTACAAAATGAGGCCCTCCTCAGCCCAACTCGTAAAAAGCTCGATTCATCGCTTCGTTAAAGCTAAAAAAAATATGTATATATATATACATGAATAATGTTGAGATCATAAAATTTTATTAACTTTCAAAAATATTAATTAATCAATAAATTAATAATTTATTAATTTAAAGAGTACTTTCGCGATTTATCAAATATAAATTTTGGTAAATGTAGTTTGTACTTGGTGAGCAAGTAGACTTGTTAGGAAAGAGTCTTGATTAAATTTGAAAAGAAATTTATAGGTACAAGTGTCAAAAATACATTAGGAAAGAGGTTTATTGGTTAACAATTAGATAGCTATAAATATGTGGCTTATGACACCAGAGATTTTGAATGCAATGAGAAAAATTAAGGATGAAATCAATTTTGATTTGAATTTCCTGAAGAAACACAAAATAATAGATTCATATTTTACTAAATTGCCTTAATTATATTTGTAATTTTAGGAATTATTAATTTATAATTTTGATGAGACTATATATTTATAAAGGGGTCTTTTTAAAAATTATTATCTTATTGAGTCGAGACCAAAAGAAAATATTATTTTAGAAAAATTATTAATTTAGCGAGTATTATTTTATGGATGTTCTACTATAATTTATTATAGCTTAAGTTGTTAAGACTTAACATCAACTAATTAACATTACATTAATGAATGAATGAAACTCGAACTCGAACTCAATTACTAATTTGTTGTTTAATAAAGAGCTAAGACGAGCTCGACTTTTTAAAAACTTTAACTAAAGTCCACCTAAATAAAGTGTGCAAAATAAATATAAATAAAAATGGTCATAACATACAGAGCTAATAATCTATTGTTTTTTGTAAATGTGATTTTCGTTGGCTTTTATATCCATTTCTAATTTTCTCCCCCTTTCCCCGTCCTCTCTCAGAACAATAAACCGTGAAGAGAGGCGGAGAAACGCGTATTCAACGCCTTGCTCCGCCGCCCCCGTCGCCCGCTTAAGTTTCTCCGCCGCGGAGCCAAAAATAATCAACACCACCGCTGATTTTACTTGGACTATTCTTAATATGCTTTCTTCCCCACATCGCATTTAGGATTCTCTTTCTCAAAATGAATTCTCCGCCCTCCGCCTGAATCGAACACGATCGTCCACGGAATTCCGATCTCGAAGGTTCCTGACTTTCTTTTCATCCTTTTTAGGCAATTATTTTGATATTTTTCTTAGATATGCAGATTTGGTACTCCGATGTTCATGACCATGTATGTTTCAATTCATGATTAGGGCTAGGTTTAGGTGTAGGTCTTCTTCACGAATGGAAGCGTCTGGTGGAAATTCGGACGCTAACAGGAGTTCTTTATCTTCTTCTTCTTCTTCAAGTACCTCCGCTCATTCTAGAAGAAATGGGATGAATATCTCTACTTCTAACATTCTACAATCACCCCTGTCCACCTTATTGGAGTACACTGGGATTCTCAGAACAAGGTCGGGTCATTCAGAATCGGAAGGTTTACTCAATGGTGGACCCCTCATCGGCTATCGAGATCGCCACCTCCAGACGCATCTAAATGACACTATAACCTCCCCGACTGCAAACCGTGGTGACGAGGCAGCTGAAGTTTCCATTAGAATCATTGGCCCCAATGAACACGAGCATGACAGGGTTGCAACCATGGTACACCCGGTGTCCACTGTTGGGCAGCTTGGTATACAGACGGAGTCCTTTTCAAGGCCTATTTCAAGGTCGGGGTCTGGGGTTTCAGAGCTGTCCTCATTGGAAAGCCAAGTTGATTCAAGAAGTGATAGAGAGGCAGGAGATGGAGTTACGCGGGTGGCGAGTGCTGATGGTTCTGAGGGAGCTGGCAATACCAGGGATGCACAGTCTTCATACCAGAGATATGATATTCAGCAGGCTGCTAGATGGATCGAGCAGGTCCTTCCTTTCATATTGCTTCTGTTGATTGTATTCATACGTCAGCACGTGGAAGGTAATTTTCCTTGTTACTTCTTACTTTCAGTTGTTTGACAGAATACATATCTGTTTTGTTGATATATTAAGATGTTATTTTCTCTTTTTACCTCATACTGTGTATGATATTAACTATCATCATGCTGTAGATACTTTGATGTCTTGTATCTTGCAATGCAAAATATATCAAGGTTTCATTCATTCTTTACCGCAATGTCACTTTCATCAAGTGTTCGGCCAGAACTTTAATTTTTCAGCTTTTACAGGGTATTCATAAGAAAAAGTTTTTTTTGGAGAAGATTTTTTTTTTTTTTTTGTTAAGTTTGTTTGTTATGAATCCATAGGAAAAGCTTTTCTTATCTTTGTATTTACTTCGTAATGAAAGAGGATTCTATCATATTCATATATAATTTTTACCCCTGGATTTACACAAAGCTAAGGGGAATCATTCTTAGGGAGCTGTTGATGTATACATATTTTATTAACTTCAATGTGACAAAGTTCTTTTTTTTTTTTTTTTCTATTCTTGTTTGTGTTTTTTTTCTTTTCTTTTTATGTTCTCATTTTTTGTTTCTTTTGTTTTGTTTTTTACTTTTTCTATCAGAAGCCATTTTAAATAGGTTCTTAACCTAAGTAGCTTTCACTTATATAATTATTATATATATGTATTAGGAAAAAGTTTGTTGACTGCTGCTAGATTTGCAGGATTCATCGTTACCATTTGGATTGCTGCCTTTATGTTTAAGTCGAATGATATTGTTCGGAAGCAGACGGCACTCAAAGTACTTTATATCCCTTTTTCGTTGATTGAGATATTTGGATCAAAGATAAAGTTATGGTTGGCATGGAGCTGATTTTTGTTTTCTTTTTAGGGTGAGAGGAGAGTATTTGTTCTCATAGGTGTGGTTGTTGTTTCCACGCTTCATATTGTTGGGATTTACTGGTGGTATCGGAATGATGATGTGCTATACCCTTTGTTGATGCTGCCACCAAGAACCATACCGCTTTTCTGGAATGCAATGTTCATCATTGTCGTCAATGGTGAGTGATATTTATTCAATTGTTGAATTCCTGGCATAGTTATTTGGCAGTGTATTAATATTATTTTTTGAAATATGGTATCTTTTTTCAGATACACTGGCCCGTCAGGCCGCAATGGTTTTCAAGTGTGTCCTATTGATATATTACCGAAACAGCAGAGGGAGAAACTATCGTAGGCAAGGTCAAATGCTAACATTAGTCGAGTACCTATTTTTGCTTTACCGTGCACTGCTACCTGCTCCAGTTTGGTATCGTTTCTATTTGAACAAAGAATATGGGAGCCTTTTCTCGTCACTGATGACTGGACTTTACCTGACTTTCAAACTTACATCTGTTGTTGAGAAGGTAGCCCTTATGTTTCCTACTAAATTA